TTTCCTCAAATCAGTTCTTTTGCTTAGCATTTCCAAAATAGATATGTAGATATCGTAAAATACGTAATAAGTATTTTATTTTGTTTCTTTTAATTTATTTGCAAAGAAATTCAATTGAACACGATATTTAAAGATATACGCAGTCTTCTTTATTCCCTTGCAATTGCTATGTGCGCATTTGTTTATTTGTCATACAAATAGCTTGAGCATCATCCTGAAAGGTTAAAGTCCTCTCTTCAACACCATCTTCTATTTATTGTAGCTGCATTTTAAAAACAAATACATATGTTACACCTACACCTTTTCCGTTCACATACGTTGCCATTTGCGAGTATATTTATAGCCTCCGACATGTTGTAGGTAACGTTGTTGCCAATTTCGGAAGGAAAAGTGTGTGTCCCATAAAGAAAATATCGCACGGCGTTCGTCATTCAGGCCGCCACTACAATTTTTATGCTTTTGACAGCCAATTTCGATTCGCCAGGAAAATGACGCAAATTTTTCTCTTTTATTTTTCTAAGTACATTTGTGGAAAATGTAACGATAAAATAATAAACCAGTTAAGTAAATTAAGTTCACACTTTTGAATCAATATATGTATGTAAATCGTAAATGTAAAAATTGACTAGGATTCCCAAGTTTATCTAGGTATTTATCGTTGATAAAACAAATATTGATGGATGACGTATTCCTGTTTATATTGCACTGGAAAGTATTGTAAAGTAGATCGCCTTTTGGCCGAACCACTTGCCAGTATAAAGAACCGCAGCGCCAAAAACAACTGCGCCATTCCATTTAGTACTTCACCTTTTTTGTCTTCAATAGCGATACAATTAATTACTTATCAAAACTTTTGCTCGTGAGAACAGGAAGAACAGACATACTTCTTAAAGTTGGCTGCGATAGCAGCTGAGATCTTCTTAGAACAGCTGTCTGCTTTTAACAATTAGTGGGCGTATCGATAGGTGGCTATCGATACATGTTTGCCGCCAAACTCCGAATTCGAATTAAGAACCAACAATTTGCATTGCAGTTTGAGAGTTTTAAATAAGAAAACAATTTGACTTCCCTATATAAATACAAAAAAGTTGGATAAATATTTTGAATTGAGAAGGTAATAAAATCATTAAGTATTTGGCTACTTCGAATTAGTTTGAGTATTAACATTTAGAATTTTGTACTTATTAACAACAGTAAAATAAATCAAATCATAGAAAAAAATTTAAAAAAATCGAAATTTTAATTCAAATTAATTAATTTTAAAATCGTAATATGCGTCTCTATGTGTATGTTAGGGAATGTACTTTTAACATTTAATTTATATTGAAAACTAACAAGATGTGGCTGAAACAAAGCTGTATTCGTTTAATTATCAGGAATTACTTGTAAAAAATATTTGGCGACTCTCAAAAGTCTCCCCTACCAACCAATCTCATGTGTATATATAAATATATATAATCTATAATCAGCCTACTGAGACTAAAAAGATGAACGAAAACTGCGTTTCGGGCATGTGGTAAGAAAAGCTTGCAAAAACTGCCTCTGTTCTCTATAAATTAAAAAGTAATATACAAATTGTTTACTTCGCTTAGAAACCGGCAATTAATCCACTGAATTACATGATGAGAGATCTATAACTATAATAAGGAATCGTTCGCTGTCGTGGGTCGACAAAATCGTATCTTTCAAGTAAACTCCAGACACGTTGCCTGGATGATGACCATTTGAATAGACAGATTGTTATAAGAAGCATTGTGTTCAGCGTACATCGCATGAGCGGACGAACCATACGATTTGGATTGGCAAGTCACATGGCCATACTACGGACTTACGGACATATGAATAGTATGTAGACGTTTTTATTTATACAGTATCCTGTTCAGCTTTTCTAAGCAGTCGTCTTGCCTTGATCCTGGACGTTCATTCATGCATTTTGACGTCCTGTCAGTGGCTCGAAGCAGTCACGTGCCTATCCAGCAACAAAAGAATAGTTGTAGTACGCACACATGCACACAGCCATTCATACGCACACACACAGACGCACACACACACATACACATTTGTCGCTTTACGCGGCTTAGATGGCTGCAATCAGATGCAAGTAAAAATAATTTAAAAAACGTGCGCACGCATTTGCCAGCCTGCCATTCAAGCGTTCCACCATGCAATTCAGTTGGACTGCTTTCGTTGCTGCAATTGTTATTTATTGTGGTTGTTGTTATTGTTGCCCACATTCGGTCGCAGGCGCATTTGACGCGCGCCTACAAGTAGGCAATGCAAAACAGAATGCCACGAGTGGCGGCAAAGTCAAAGTGGCGAGCAAATGTGCAGCCCGAAAATCCCCTAGCATTCAGCTGTTTAAGCAAAAGCACACCCACTACCACACCTACACACACACACACACACACACACGTGCTAGCAAGAATGTATACGTTTGTACATGTGTTGGTGTGTATGTAAAAAATGCACTTTTCCCTCTCACTTGATTTAATGCTGAGTTTTGGCTTGTTTTTTTCTTTTTGTTGTATTTTTTATTTGCTTTGCCTGACCACCAAATGTGAGTGTATGTGTGTGTGTGTGTGTGTGTGTGTGCCTGAGTGTGTGTCAGTGTGTCGCCGGCAACAAAAATTTGTTTGCACCATTATTTTGCTGCTCGCCCAACAACTGCCAACAAACAAAACAAAAATTGCATTCAACTTACGCACAGTGGTCTGCAAATTTTCCGATTTCATCGAACAAACTTTTATTCAGCTAAACTTTTATTTGGCTTTATGCTTAACATTGTTATTAACTTTCTGGTGGCGATGCGTGCTTCATGAAGCACTCTCCAGCACTGCTTGAAAGGAATTATGTCGATGAAATCCCCCTATTTAAATATTCTTTACCCAAAGGGTGGACGCTAGCGATACAAAACGATATAGACATATCCATCCGTCAGTCTGTCCGTCTGTATGAGCTCCGATACCTTTTCAACTGTAACAGCTAGGGATACAAAGCATGGTGTTTATTATAAATCACTAATAGCCTTATTATTTAGTGTAGCTGTCGATCAATTCTACGAAAACTTGTTTGTTTGCGAAGATATCTTAAGCAAATTTTGAATTTTTAGGCGTTTCTTCTAAGATTATAGTTATCAAAATATAGATGCTTCTATTAGTTGACTGTTGGGGACAGAAAGGGACTTTAACATATAAACTTAAAAATAAAATAAATGTATTCGATTGCTTCTAAAGATATGTTACACATATATAATCTTGTTCTTATTTGTTTTTTGTTTATACCTAACTAATAAGATATATATATATGCATACATTTTAGAAAAGTTTATTTATTACATAAGTGAAGAAATTAATGGATTTCCCCTCCATAAGTTTTAGCGCTGTCAGTCTCTATTTCAGCAAACATTGTGTTAAATATTATAACTCCAAAGCGAAATAAATTAAATGTTCAACTAATGTTTAAATGAAACCGAGTCTAGTGTGCTTGTTTATGAAGCTATTGGGAAAAAAAAGTAGAGTAGAGAGACCAAGGATGACATTAAGGTTTAGCACCTTTACAGCACATTTTAACAAATATAAATAGCCTAACCTCGAGCACTTCCGTGCAAGGGTTAACAGAGAGTGTTTTCTTATAGAAAAAATTGTGTACACACTGTTCTGTACTATTCGTATTATTCGAGTCACATTATTCTGGAGGAAGGCTGTTCTTGTATGGCACAGTCAGAAATAGAAATACATATAAAGATGTTATTCATTTAGTATTGTTTAAACGTTTTTTCACAAATTTATAGATTCAGAAACTTAAAAGAAATATACTTGCATATAAAGCGAAAGATAAATTGACAATTGAAAAAGATGTATGCTAAGCAAATGTGAAGTAAATTTGAAATATGTATGTACCCAGATTATTTCCCAGACTTGGCCATGAGTTGTTTTACCCTGTCCCCAAAGAGTAAACGGGTATACTAGTTGAGTGCGAATGTATGTAGCACAGGGAAGGAGGCGTGGCAGACCCCATAAATTATACATATGTATATGTATGTATGTATATTCTTCATGTCCGTCTGTATGAACTCAAGGATCTCAGAAATTACAAGAGCTAGACTAATTAAACATGGTACCCAGATTCCCCAAAGCCCTAGGCAGTTCGAGTTCCTCTTCTTCTCGTTCCCCACTCCTGTGATTTTTCATAAGTCCCGTAAATCTGTGTTGAAATGAAATCTGGTTAGTACTTATATTTTCTCACGTCAAGTTTTTTCATGTTGGGTCAATTGTGCAGAATGTTCTCAGCTTTTTACGGACACACATAGACACACACATATGCATACACAGAGACACACTCATATACACACACATATACACACACATAGAATGCGCGTGGGTACAGGGTACTTGAGAATAGGGCCAGCTCGACTCTAGCACTCCATTGTTGTTCCTTTTTGCGATTTAAAGACCTCAAAATTTGTATCGGTTTCTAAACGAATTTGGTCTCACTGTTCGATGTGTTGTTTTGGCATTTGAACGTGTGCACACATACAAATGCACGGCAAACACACAGACACAGGCACGGACCCAGTGAGCGGGCCGCTTAGCTGTCCGCATTTGCCGCTAAGCGTCTGCAGTTGCACTCCCACACATACACACACACTCACATGCACACACACACACACACACACAGCGACTCACATTCACATGCGTCGCTGCTCGTGCGCCATGACCGAACTTGGGCTTGGGCTTGGGCTCGTGCGCCATCGGCATTGTCATCATTGGCGTCGTGTCGTCGTCGGCTGTTGTCCGGAAGGATAAGTTGCTCAGATGCTAGCAAGATTCTGTCATAACGGCTTCGGCATTCGTGGCGCGCGCTTCAGCAGCAGCAGCAGCAACAGCAGCAGCAGCGCAGAAAGAAAAGAAAAACATTCATTTTAGCGCTGAAGCATTTTTTTTGTTTGTTAAATATTGCCGTTTGGTTTCGAAAGCATAATTTTTTTTTCTTAGCAAACTATACGGCCAAGTCGGCGAAAACTAGGAAGCCCTCGTTGCTCATCAAGTTCGTCAGTCACAAGTTTTTTGTTGTTGCAGTCAGTTGGCGCTTGGAAGTTGCCGCGCGTTTGAAATGTAACGGTCGCTCTGAACTGCATAACGGCATATATATATATATATATATATATATATAAATACATATTTGTGGCAGTGTGCGCGTGTGAATTGAATTGAAAGCCATCCGCCGCTACAACTGCTTTGGGATAGCCCTGGAGGGTAAGGAAAGGCGAAACGGAACCAAACCGAAACTGAATTGTATATCGCATTCGAAACCAAAATCGGGCGCAGTTCTCAAACAGCAGGTGAGTGCGGAGAATTGAAAAGTGTGAGGAGAATTGAAAACTGCCAGAACAATTAAAACAAAGCAAGTCATGAGGCATCTGAGCTGGTCATAAAATATATTTATATATACTTGTGTATATTTTAACTAAGAATTATGGCTGCGAACTGAAATAAACAAATTCCTTAGCCATCTTCCATCATATAGTACACTGTTTATTGTTGCACACAACAAATAAACAAACACAAAAATGATTTAGGTTCATTTCATTTTCGTAGAACAGTCGTCTAGTCGTATACTTAATAAAAGCAAAGCTGCAGATCAACATGATTGATTCATTTCATTCATTTCAACTAAATTGAAATTGCCTACTCGCAAAGAAATTGTTTTCCAAAGCCAGATTTAGACTGAATGAAGAGCCACATTTTGGAAATACAAGTAGTTATCAAATGCAATTACTATGAAAACGACAGTGTAATCTCCATAGTTTGTCTACTTGATTTGGTTCCGTGTTGTTGTTTTTTTGAAAAAGTTACATTTCGGCTCCAAAATAATTGCATAAAGTTTAATCGCAAAGAAGAAACTCTTACCAAATAAAATTTTATACAAAATGTAGAATGCAACATAAAGCCAATTGTGTTTTCTAACTTGAAATGTTTGGAGTGATTTGAATGAAGGGCTCTTTCAAAATGTTTGAATAAGATTCTCGAAGACAAAGACGTCTTGCGTTGATTTGTCGAAATATTCTCCGACGTTTATTCTAAAAAATGCAATTGTCCTTCATTAAATGATAACGAATGATGGGAATCGAAGCACCTGCACATTTATTGAAAATAAAGCACATTTTCAAACTTTTTCTAATCTTCGATCACTTTTTGGGTTATTGAAGACACATTTTAGCAATAACTAAAATTAACTTATGCTCTTTTTTAGTTCTTTCTATGCTTCTACAATACACAATGTTCGATATTCCAGATTAGCGAGGCTATACTGTATATGAAAATAAAACAGAAACTAAGCACACAATATTACAACAAATGAAATTAATTTCAATTCAAATTCCGCAAAACTAAAGCTATGGTCACATTTGCAATCAATTTGCAAACAAATTTGTTTATTTTTTGTAGTTCCTTTTTGATTTTGGGGGAAATAATTCATTTTACTCTTGACTTCCCTTTTTTACGATATTCGTGATACACTTCTGCGATAGCTTTGTTTACAAAAATTTGGCCTATCTGACCATAGCAAGCATAATGATCAAATGATAAAAATAACTGTTACCTCAATATAGTCTGAGAATGCGATGCACAAATTCGATCATCTATAGCTTTTTACTATCTTCAAGTAGGTCGGATGCTTGCAGCCTCATGTCCGTTGTCAAATGCAATTCAAATTTGTTCGCAAGTCTATAAGTCTAGTCAGTATAAACATTCGGAGGTCTACAAGTAGTTCCGTGCGATTGCAATCGAAAGCGTCTGCAGATCATTAGGAGCCTTCATCATAGCATTTAATTTTTGTAAACAAATCAAGTCTGTCTCTTGATAAAATAATATAAAATCAAGTCCATCCAAGCACGATTTATTTCTTCAGTGACATGTTTGTAGAATCGAAAGTAAATCAATTTAAATGAATGTTTGAAAAAAAGTGGATTCTTCAAACACCTTTAGGTTGCTTGCAAATGCAGTATTGTTTTCCATTCTGTTTTCCATTTAATATTCTATTTATTTATTGCATCCAAATTATTTGCTTGATCTTTGCACGTAGCTCATTTTATTTTATTTGCAAATGCAAATATATATTTTGACTCTTCGATCGATCCTGTTATCAATATATTTTAAGCCTGCCCATCTGTAAGTCCTTTTTTTAAGGAAAATAGTTTAATTTACACATCAAATAATTCCTACGCATTTCAGGCTTCGCCTGCCTGCTTTCACGTAATCTCTTAATAACTCTTATTAAAAAATAAATCCACTTTATTTAATATTATCCTCAACTATCTCGATCCTCTTAAATAAACCCTCGACAGATGAATATTATTGGTGTTTACTAAAGCTTTCTGCAACGAACAGCTCAATTTTAAGAAGTAGCTCTTCATATGCCATATTAGAGGCAGCATAAGGGGCAGACATATAGAAACATATAAGCTCTCATGGGAATTAGCAAAATTATATAAAACGCGAATTTAAAATGATGAACACTTTTCTGAATGAGCTAAAACTTTTTGTTGAAGTGTTCATTTGGACTATAGGAGTATGCTGCTCGGTTTACATTTTCCAACTTTGATTCCCTTTTTATCTGAGTTCCACCGAATTTGGGAAGTATAGGGTGCTTTGTGCTTAACTGTACAACTTGTAGCCACGTCACAGCTGTGGGTCGATGGTCAACATCAGGGCCATTCTAAATAAATATTTATACTATATTTTCTCCCATACAAATAACAATTTAATTTTCGATTTCAATTCCATGCATACTTTCTAAAATGTATTTCGTTGTTTGCCATTCTTCCATTCTTGGCGGTATAGAAAATTGTGTCTAATCATTTCCGACAACCGACGGAAACTGTAACGGCAATGCAACGGCAATGGCAACGGGCCGGATGTGCAACGCGACCAGTTGTTGCCCCAAAAAATATTTGCATGCCATAATTTGTATTGCTCTAAATGCGTCCTAGCCGAGTTTGTTATGCACACGCGTATGTTTTTTCTTTTTTTTGTATACGTGCTTGTGCTTCTATATATACAAGTATATTATATATGTGTGTGTGTGTGTGTGTGTGTGCCTATACGATAAGTATTTCTGTTTATGGGCCTGGCCAAATGGTAAACTAATTTGTTTTTGGTTCAAGCTTGCTTAAACATTTCAAATTTATTTAACAAAGCATTGCATACTTCTAGGCCAAAGTCATGTAATAACTGTGACAAAGTGTGTGTGTGTGTGTGTGTGTGTGTGTGCGTGTGTTGCCATCGCTGCTGCAACAGTTGTTGTTGTTGTTGTTGCTGTTGCTCTTGTGCCCATTAGAAATGTCGGCCAGCCATGGCCAGTGGGCAGCCTAAACGGCTAGCGCCGCACGTCAAAAGTTTTCCATTTGCCTCGCTTGCCTCTTTGACGTTGTTTCCGTCTCCGTCACCGTCTCCTTCTCCGTGTCCGTCTTTGCCGCCATCACCATCACCATCACCACCATGGCCATAACCATAACCAGAAAGTCCTTTTGCTGCAGCTCTCGTTGTTAGCAAACGTCAAGCGTCATCATCAATGTTGCACACTGCATGGCTCCGTCTATCAGGGTGACCGAAATGTTGAAAGAAAAACACAAACGAAAATGTAATAAGAAGCAATTATTTTATAATTCAAAAGTGTACCGAAAGTAAACACAAATTCTTCAAATTGCAGAGTGTTCTCTAAATTAGCAAGGTGGATCAAAGGAAAAGCTGTGAGGGTCCCTCATAACAATCCTCGAAACTGTTGCAAGCTGTTGGAGGCGCTTTTAAGTAATTTTGTTTAAAATGAAAAGCATAACTTTTCACATTAATACTTGTAGTTTTTCATCAACTTCTTGCACAACAAACACAATTCCAGAAACAATTATTATTGACACATATTCTTAAATTGATAAACAGTGCGAACATTCAGGTTCACAGTCTATGACGAAACGTTTAACTGAAAAGTCGATAGCTTTTTCAGTTTTTCTCTTTGCTTTTTAATTTTTGCAATTTTCTTTCAAATAAGCAACAGTATTTAATTGAAATAAATATACGATTGTGCTAGTTTTTTCTACTATGAGCACATCCTCGAAATAACTGTTTGACCGTTTTTCATGGGAAAAGAAAACCAATTAGCAACCGAATACATTGTTCGGCCACCACCTCCACCACCAACGTACTCCTAAATCCCAGTCATTCGTAAGCTTATTTATTCTTTGTCCAGTCCACTACCCTCGTCACTTTTTCACTTTTTTAATTGGTATCGGTTTCATTTTCTGTATGAAAAACAGAAAACATGCCACTCACGTCAATCTTTTTGTCAATCACAAAACAAAACAAAAACAAATTCATGCATTAGTGAAATGTTTTGGTCGCGATTCTAAACAACTAATCAGCTTTCGAATAAATGTTTATTGCAATATTTGTATGCTTGTAAAACGAAAATGGATGGAAGTTATTAAGCAAAGAAATATATTGTGCATATAATGCGCTGATATACGAATTCAATTGCATTTTTTCGAACTAGATTCCAGCATACAAAGGCTTCTAGAAAAAGGCTCCATATAATGCACTCAAAAAAATAAAAATATGAAAATATAAATATGAACAAGTAAAGGGCAGGTAGAGGGACTACAGCGCTCGTAGAGACATACAGACTGACAGACGGACCTGACTGCATCTACCTATCCTGCAGAATATGCAAGCTGCTCTTCAAAAGATAGGAAAAGAAAACAGAATTGAAATTTTGACACAATGATATTATTTTATTCAAAATAATCACGTTCCAACTTGTCAATACTTGTAGTTTCGACGCCCCTATTACTATATCCGTTCATAGGAATATGGAATTTTGCGAAAGAAAGCGAATCTAGGGAGTGGTTGATAGTTGAAATGAGAATTTTGGTCAAAAACAATCGGCGGAATATGGCTAATACGATGCTTTAAAACACCGATAAAAAGAAAAGTGGAAGGTGGAACAAGGAAGTAAATTCCCATGAAACAGATCAACACTTCACTTCTCCATATAGTTCAGCACCAGGATATTATTATTATTTTTTTTTTTTGAAGCGATAACTCAGTTTCTATTCATCCGATTGTCATGAAATTTCGAAATATAGACATCCATAAAAGATATACCTTACTAACGTACCCATCCATTGGCGTCACCATTTATTTATTTTTCACTAAAACTATCACGAATTTTGAAATCTTTGATTATTGAAACAATTTGATTCGTAAACAATCTAGCTTGAATGCTTAACAATAAGAAAATTGTTGTTTTAGGGCTTGTAGAATTAAAATTAAATTTTCCCCAATTTTC